ACCATAACAGCACCATAACTACCATAACAGCACTATAACTACCATAACAGCACCGTAATTACCATAACAGCACCATAACTACCATAACAGTACCATTACAGTACCATAACAGCACCATAACCGCAGCATAACTACCATAACAGCACCATAACAGGACCATAACTACCATATCTACCAAAACAGAACCATAACAGTACCATAACAGCACCATAACAGTACCATAACAGTACCCTAACACTACCATAGCAGCATTATAACAGCACCATAACTACCATAACAGCACCATAACTATCATAATAGCAGCATAACAGTACATAACAGCACCATAACTACCATAACAGCACCACAACTATCATAATAGTACCATAACAGTACATAACAGCACCATAATTACCTTAACAGTACCATAACTACTATAACAGTATCACAACAGCACCATAACTATCATAATAGTACCATAACAGTAGATAACAGCACCATAACTACCATAACAGAACCATAACTATCATAACTACCATAACAGTACCACAACAGCACCATAACTCTCATAATAGTACCATAACAGTACATAACAGCACCAAAACTACCATAACAGCGCCATAACTATCATAATAGTACCATAACAGTACATAACAGCACCATAACTACCATAACAGCACCATAACTATCATAGTAGTATCATAACAGTACATAACAGCACCATAACTATTATAATAGTACCATAGCTAACATAGTAGTATCATAACAGTACATAACAGCACCATAACTATTATAATAGTACCATAGCAGTACATAAAAGCATCATAATAATAAATATAATAATAATAATTAACGGTTTATTGAAAAGGTTCTGCAGCCCGAAGGTTGAAAATACACATTCGACATAAATGACTTATTACATACATTGGTGGTTTAACAAAAGCCTTCATTAGAGAAAGGTGAAGGAACATACAGTGAACATACAGATTAATGTTTACAGCGGAGGTCACATACATCTTGTGCGCTGAGATGTTGAACAGCAGACACGTAGTGTAGTAACTCCCTCACAGATGGCGTTATGAGGGGCATCACAGGTGGTGTTATGAGGGGCTTGACGTGGTGTAGTAATTCCCTCACAGATGGTGTTATGAGGGGCCTGATGATGTAATTCCCTCACAGATGGTGTATGAGGGACCTGATGATGTAGTAATTCCCTCACAGATGGTGTTATGAGGGGCCTGATGTGGTGTAGTAAATCTCTCACAGATGGTGTATGAGGGGCCTGATATGGTGTAATAATTCCTTCACAGCTGGTGTTATGAGGAACCTCACATGATGCAGTAGCAACTCATTCACTACGTGGTGTAGCATCATGGGGACACCACGTGGTTTGTTGTCACAGGATCTCTCACTGAAGAGAGTGAGGTGTGGTCCCAGGCCTCCCCATCGTGGAGTCTCAGGGGAATTATCACTGAGTACCTGGGACCTCACTGTGTGAAGGTTAGCTTGGGTAAGACTCAACTGTGGCTGCCGAGTTGTTTTTCACTGACTTAAGCACTGTTCACCACTATTCAACACTGGTTCCATTCCTTTCCCAAATGAAATAGTAACTTCTGGCGAGAACTTGTTGATATTCCATTGGGGAGGATGGGTTCAGGGAGGGAGTTGGTATGGGCCAACATAACAGTTGACGCAGCTGCTGCTAGAGCAGCGCCAGGTGCGTCTTGGCCCGTCTTGACCCGTCGGTACCATAACTACAGTAATAGCATCATAAAAGTACCATAACAGCACCTTAACAGTACCATAACTTCGCTATAACTGCACCATAACAGTACAATAACCATACCATAACAGTACCATGACAGCACCATTAAGGGGTCAGAATATTCGACAGGGAAATAAAATGGATAGCGCACATGTTTATTATTATAGTTTGTGCAGATACATTTCTTGCGCTGTGATTGGTGGATAACCACAAGGGTTAGTTAGGCTTTTGCTCCCCTGCCATGTAGACTACTACTCCATTCCTTCCCCCAATAGCCACACCTTCGCCACCATTTTATTACCTTACTATTAAGTATCCCAATACATAAGTAGCTACCCTAGCTGTGTTGAGCCGCAGATCTATGCAGCATTCAGTGACTGTAGCCTCATAGTCAGTATCTGCAACTGTTGTCGGTTTTGGGGTCGAAGCGCTTGTTCCCCTGAGGCAGAGCAAAGCCGACCGAATGAGAGAGGACAGTCAACATCTCATCCAGGCTGTAACATAACTTCTGGGCTGCTGCTTCTGTTCGGAGATCACCTCCGCGAGTCTGGCGTAGAAACATCTTGCACTTGGTCCCATCCCACCAGAGGTTGTGAACACCAGAGGAGTGAAGCTGCCTTGGTCAACGTTTTGAATTCTCTCCCCATATGCCCTTATCTTGTCGTTCTCGTTCCTCCTGTGTGCAGCATCAAGAGCTAAGTTACGGTGACATGCGGCCATGGGATCAAAAATCCTGATGTTGAAGAAGGCTCGCTGTCCCCGCGTCCAGAATCCTCGAGCACTGACGTCAACACGGGCTTCGTTGGATGTGTTTGAAATCCTGTGTTGGAAGATCTCACCGTCCAATGGAAGGAGGGTCGGTTCTACCCTGACATCACGGCAGATTTCCTTCAACATATTTGCTGTGAGATCCCTTACTTCGTCATACCTCATGCATATGAAGCCCCCCTTCTTGCACACCATGGCGTGATCGACGTCATAGGAAGAGCCACACACGCATTGGGAGGGCAAACCTTCTACTGAACTACCGTACCTTAGAGCATTGGCATCTGTAAATTCTTGTTTATTGAGACTGAAACCATTTGCACTTATCGGTAACGTAGTTAACCAGTTCGAGGCGACAACCTCCTGCACTATAGCTACTTTTTTTTCAAATTCTCTGGTACTTGCAGCAACAGTTGCTGCAACTTATCACTTTAGCTGTGCTGTCGTTCTGTCGTAATGGACCTTCGAATCTTGTTTACTTCACTGGTATCCACCTCCCCTGTTGCGTTCTGAGCTATTATGTGGTCCGTGAGGGCTGCCGTGAGCTTAACTGAGTTTTGATGTTCGGTGGCAGCAAACTCCTCTGGATTGGCCAATCCCATTCCTCCCAGTCTCGGTGGTAGTGCAAGGAGTGATCTTTCTGTTGGGGTTAAGTGAAGGTGTTTCACTAATTTGGGAATGAAATTGACGCTAATAGCTTCTTCCAGAGGGTGGAGGAGAGGTCCGATATCAGGGATAGTGCGCATCAGGTAGTTCCAGCGATGCTTGACTCCATGGGTGAATGCCACAAAAGCAGCATGTGGCTCTGTGTTAGCAATCTCAGACAGAGCTTGGATTTCCCTAACCCACTCATTCACCTTTCCCGTTACGTACTCGGTCTTGAAGTCCGTCGTGCCGATTACTGCGCCCAGGTGTCTTTGGCCATCCTTTGTTATTTTGACCTCACTTCCACCGAACACCTCCAATGCCCGTTCATAATGTTCTGGCTTCACAATGAGGAAGGACTTGCTGGTGTTTGGGTGGTACCCTATTTGTGGGCCTCGCGATGTTACCAGGTCCCACCACTTTTTGATGTCCTCCACTTTTCCTGCTCCTGTAAGGTCATCAGCATATGCCACTTGCTTCACCTCAGTTGTTTCAAATTTCATTGTGTGTTGGAGCACGGATAGACCTATTGCATACATTGCCATTGCAACAGGGTCCCCCTGCATTGTTCCCTCGGTTGACTGTATGATGGTATCACCTCTTAGAGCCTTGTTGTTTACTATATAGAGATCTGATGGATTTCTGTAGGAGTTTTCAACATACATTGCAAAGCTTGGACACTTGATCTTGATGTTGTGCAGTGCGGCCTTGCGGTTAAGTTTGTTGAACGCGTTTGAAGCGTCCACCAGGAGAACGGTTATTATTATTATTATTATTATTATTATTATTATTATTATTATTATTATTATTATTATTATTATTATTATTATTATTATTATTATTATTATTATTATTATTATTATTATTATTTTTATTATGATTATTATTATTATTGTTATTACGTTTTCGCCCCCCGGGCCCTGATGTGGGTCGATGACCTGTGTCCGGGTGGGCTAATACCCGTAAAAAAAAAAGAAAAAAAAATTGTGCTCCTTGCGATGTTATCAGGTCCCACCGCTTTTTGATGTCCTCCACTTTTCCTGCTCCTGTAAGGTCATCAGCGTATGCCACTTGTTTGACCTCAGTTGTTTCAAATTTTATTGTGTGTTGGAGCACGAATAGGCCTATTGTGTACATTGCCATTGCAACAGGGTCCCCCTGCGTTGTTCCCTCGGTTGACTGTATGATGGTATCACTTCTTAGAGCCTTGTTGTTTACTATATAGAGGTCTGATGGATACCTAAGGAGTTTTCAACATACATTGCAAAGCTTGGACACTTGATCTTGATGTTGTGCAGTGCGGCCTTGCGGTTAAGTATGTTGAATGCGTTTGAAGCGTCAACCAGGAGAACGGCCTCACAATCACGCTGCTCAAATATCGTTCTCATGTCATGAATGGCAGCTTCCCCTCCTGTCTGGTGGCCAGCACAAACTTGCAGGTTCCCTGCTGCTGTCCTGACATCATCCTTTACCACCTCCATTATGCATTTTCCGATGATCCGCCTCATCACTTCCCCCACCCCTATAGGCCTACATCCTGGATTCTTATTCAGGGGTATAAGGCGGCAGGCCATCAGAGCATGGAGGTGATGGCAGCACGAGGATGCCAGCTTTCTTGCAAGGACGGCAATGGCAGTGCAGAGATAAATTGCTACGGGGCCAAACCTGATAGGCCGGCTCCTCCTCGAGTCTTCAGTGCCTTTTTCCACACCATCTCTCCTGTTATTTTTCGAGCAGGACAGCATTTGGTGGGATATAGTCACCCTGGAACCCGATGCCTTCATCTTCACTTGCAGGGGGATGTTTTTCATTCAGTTGTTTTAATGTTCTCTCTGTTTATTGGCAGAATCCCACCGGAGGTTTCCTCTGTGAGAGATCTTACCGCCAGAAACACCTTTTCCACACCCATTTTGTTTCCAAACTTTCTTGCAACGTCATCGGTGTTTTGCTTTTCGTCACCTGTAAATTTTAGTCTCTCCTGCAGTGTTCTTGCTTCACATAGAAGATCCTCAAGGGCCCCATTCTGCCACATTGTCAGTCTTCTCTTCATTGCTGCCGCATTTTCTTTGTGCTTAGTCTTTGTGTGTGTCCTCTGACAAAATAGATGTGGTATTATTGCCAGTATTTGAAGAGCTAAAGGGGGGAGGAAGCAGTCCTGAGTGTAATCAGTTCTGAGGCGAATCATCTCCTGAATCATTTGTTTGGTGGCCGCACACTTGGGTGGTTCAAATATGTTAGCTGGCGACCACCTGACAATTTCTGAGTAAGTTTTTTTAACCCATATGTCTGTATTTTCCATCGACATGCCATTCCACTGTGGTGGCTGTCTTTCATTCACCTCGTGGACATCTGCTACTATTGGAGCAGCCTTTATTAGTACTACATTCTCAGGATGAGTAGACTCACTGCTATCATTTAGGATATCATCGGGCGGTTGGGTCCCGGCGATATCCACTGTGGCCTCCTGTTTCGGCTCCCTGCCTTGTGGGTTCCGACAAATGTTTCCCTTTCTGCAATCCACACATGGTCGGTTGTTTCTAGCACATTTATAGCTAGTGCAGTTTTGGTACTGGCTAGCACAGACGCAGCAATGTCTGTTACCCGGCATAGTGTTCCGCACCTTGGGCTGCAGTTATATCTGCATCCGACATCTGCTTTGGTCCAAAACAGAAGAGGAAACTATTTCTTATGAGTAAAGGACAGAGAGGTGACAGGCTGGACTGCTGTGTCCGGGTAGTAGGGGCATACATGCTCGCGTGGATGTGTAGGCCACCCCCCCCTGTGGGCGACAATCCAATATCAGACTGATAAACTGGGAGCAAGAATTGTCACACCTAACACTTGTTTATATATCCTTGGCAGACATAACCACTATTTCTATGGTCGTACTGATGTAATATTAGTTTTATATACTCACTTAGATGGCTGACACCCCATGAAGTGACCGTTACTTGGGGGTGGGGCTGTGGGGTACGCTTAGTTTTGGGCTCACACTCAGGATGGGATGGAGAAAGGAAACTCACAATGTGCTCTCTGTATACATGTTGTATTGGATGTACAATGCAGCTTGGTGCTGGGAAGTGGCAGCGTGGTTACAAGCGTGATGTAGAGAGAGCTGGTTGGTGAGGGTGCTCTGAGGAGGACAGCTTGTGGGTCGCCATGCTCGCCGGCGGGAGCGAGGGCCGGCAGGCAGCGGCGGAGGAGGTGGTGTAGCTTGCTGCGGCTGTAGCTAGAAGAAGAGAGTGGTCACCACGAGGTCAGGTCTTAAATAGCGGAGGTAGGCGTGGCTTAGTAGTTGACCTCCATCTTGTAAGGCGGCGCTGGTTGACCCAGACCACGAGGCATACACTGGGGAATTCGCGGGGTCGGCTACCCAGCGACAAACAGCGTTTGTAGGGGAGAAATCCACTACAGGGCGACCACAAGCGTTGAGCACTTGGCCCCATAAGGGCGAGAGTCTCGATGCCACCCCTGCCAAAGTAGGCCTATCGACACTGGCACTGGCACCTGGCACCTGCAGTAGCCGTCCATCCAAATACTCACAGACTCGCTTGGTGATCGCCGGTGAACACACGGAATATTTGCGATTAATGCCGTAAGGGATGAGAAGAACCTTCAGTGACGATGTTTACTGTAGGGTGATATCCGATATTCACCGACAAACTGTGAAATTCCTGCTCCCACACACCGTGTATGTCCCCACCAATAACGCTTTAGATCAGGGAGGACACACAACGACACCCACGCCGCGCTGGCCCACTAACTACTACTACTACTACTACTACTACTACTACTACTACTTTTTTTTTTTTTTTTTTTTTTTTTTTTTTTTTTTTAATGACTCATGCCTCTATGTACACCTTCATATAATTGTTTGTAATATTAAATATCCTAATACATAAGAAACTATCCTATCTGTGTTAAATTAGTTGAGCCGCAGATCCATGCGGCATTCAGTGACTGTAGCCTCATAGTCGATATCTGCAGCAGTTGTCGGAGTAGGGGCAGAAGCTCTCGTTCCCCTGAGGCAGAGCAAAGCCGACCGAAGGAGAGAGAAGGACAGTCGACATCTCATCCAGGCTGTGACACAACTTCTGGGCTGCTGCTTCTGTTCGGAGATCAGCTCCGCGAGTCTGGCGTAGAAACATCTTGCACTTGGGCCCATCCCACCAGAGGTTGTGAACACTAGAGGAGTGAAGCTGCCTTGATCAACATTTTGAATTCTCTCCCCATATGCCCTTCTCTTGTCGTTCTCGTTCCTCCTATGCGCAGCATCGAGAGCTAGGTTACAGTGACAAACGGCCATGGGATCAAAAATCCTGATGTCGAAGAAAGCTCGCTGTCCCCGCGTCCAGAATCCTCGAGCACTGACGTCCACACGGGCTTCATTAGATGTGTTTGAAGTCCTGTGTTGGAAGATCTCGCCATCCAGTGGAAGGAGGGTCGGTTCTACCACCATGACGTCGGCGAATTTCCTTCAACATATTTGCTGTGAGATCCCTTTTCGTCATGCCTCATACATATTTCCTGCACAGCATGACAGTCACTTATCTTCCCCGCATTGGAGCAGCTATCTTGGCTGTAGAAACCGTGTTTAAGGCTGAAACCATTTGCCCTTATCGGTAACGTAGTTAGCCAGTTCGAGGCGCCCACCTCCTGTGCTATAGCTACTTTTTTTGTCAAATTTTCTGGAACCAGCAGCAATAGTTGCTGCAACATGTCATTTTGGCAGTTCTGCCGATCTGTTGTAATGGACCTACGGATCTTATTAACTTCGCTGGTGTCCACTTCCCCTGTTGCATTCTGGGCGATTATGTGGTCAGTGAGGGCTGCCGTGAGCTTAAGTGAATTTTGATGTTCAGAGTCAGCAATCTCCTCTGGATTAGTTAGTCCCATCCCTCCCAGTCTTGGTGGAAGTGCAAGAAGTGTTCTTTCTGCTCGGGTTAAGTCAGGGTGTTTCACTAGTTTGGGAATGAACTTGACCCTGATTGCTTCTTCCAAAGGGTGGAGGAGGGGTCCGATCTCAGGGATGGTACGCATCCGGTAGTTCCAACGATGCTTGACTCCATGGGTGAATGCTGCAAAGGCCGCATGTGGCTCTGTGTTAGCGATCTCCGATAGAGCTTGGATTTCGCTAACCCACTCATTCACCTTTCCCGATACGTACTGGGTCTTGAAGTCCGTAGTGCCAATTACTGCGCCTAGATGTCTTTGGCCGTCCTTAGTTATTTTGACCTCACTTTCGCCGAAAACCTCCAAAGCCCGATCATAATGATCTGGCTTCACGATGAGGAAGGATTTGCTGGCGTTTGGGTGGTACCCTATTTGTGGACCTCCCGATGTTACCAGATCCCACCACTTTTTGATGTCCTCCACTTTTCCTGCTCCTGTGAGGTCATCAGCATATGCCACTTGTTTGACCCCAGTTGTTTCAAACTTTATTTCTTGTTGGAGCACTGATAGGCCTATTGCATACATTGCCATTGCAACGGGGTCCCCCTGTGTTGTTCCCTCAGTCGACTGTAGGATGGTATAACCTCGTAGAGCCTTGTTGTTTACTATGTAGAGGTCTGATGGATTCCTATACGAATTTTCAACATACATCGCAAAGCTAGGACACTTGATCTTGATGTTGTGCAGTGCAGCCTTGCGGTTAAGTATGTTGAATGCGTTTGAAGCATCCACCAGGAGAACAGCCTCACAATCACGCTGCTCGAATATCAATCTCATGGCGTGAATGGCCGCCTCCCCACCAGCCTGGTGGCCAGCACACACTTGTAGGTTCCCTGCTGCTGCCCTGACATCGTCCTTTACCACCTCCATTATGCACTTTCCGATAATCCGCCTCAGCACTTCCCCCACCCCTATGGGTCTACATCCTGGTTTCTTTTCCAGAGGAATAAGGCGGCAGGCCGTCAGGGCCTGGAGATGATGGCAGCAAGAGGATGCAAGCTTTCTTGCAAGGGCGGCAATGGCAGTGCAGAGATCGCTTGCTACAGGGCCAAACTTGTTAGTGCTGAGGATGACTCTCCAACCGTTTGCATCCAGACCTGAGGGGCCGGCTCCTCCACGAGTCTTCAGTGCCTTTTTCCACACCATCTCTCCTGTTATTTTCTCGAACAGGACAGCATTTGGTGGGATATAGGCACCCTGGAGCCTGATGCCTTCATCTTCACTTGCAGGGGGATGTTTCTCTTTCAGTAGTTGTAAAGTCGCTCTGTTTATTGGCATCAACCCACCGGAAGATGCCTGAGTGAGAGATCTTACCGCGAGAGACACTTTTCCCACACGCATTTTGTTTCCAAATTTTCTTGCCACGTCATCGGTGTTTTGCTTTCCGTCACCCATAGATTTTAGTCTCTCCTGCAGTGTTCTTGCTTCACATAGGAGATCATCTAGGGCCCCAGTCCGCCACATTGTCGATCTTCTCTTCATTGCTACCACATTTTCTTTGTGCTTAGCCTTTGTGTGTGTCCTCTGACAAAATAGATGTGGTATTATTGCCAGTATTTGAAGAGCTAGGGGGGCGAGGAAGCGGTCCTGAGTGTAATCGGTCATGAAGAAAGTCATCTCCCGAATCATTTCTTTGGTGGCCGCACACTTGGGTGGTTCAAATAAGTTAGCGGGCGACCACTTGACAATTTCTGAGTAGGTTTCTTTGACCCATACGCCTGCATTTTCCATCGACATGCCTTTCCACTGAGGCGGCAGTCTCTCATTCTCCACCTGGACACCTGCTACTGAGGGAGCAGCATTTATTAGTACTACATTTTCGGGTTGAGTAGACTCACTGCTATCATTTGGGATATCATCGGGTGGTTGGGTCCCGGCGATATCCACTGTGGCCGCCTGTGTCGGCTCCCTGCCACGTGGGTTCCGACACTGGTCTAGCTTCCTGCAATCCACACATGATCGATTGTTTCTCGCACAAAAACAATTTGTGCAGTTTTGGTTCGGGCTAGCACAGACGCAGCAAAGACTGTTGCAAACATAATGCTGCACCTCCGGCCTCTGTGGGCCCATGGTTGAAAACTAGATCTTGACTGGGGTGGCACCGTCCGTGTAATAATAAGGGCATACGCGCGTGTGTGGTTGTGTCGGGCACCCCCCATGTGGGCGATAATCCACACATGAGAATAATCCACTGGGAGCAAGAATTGTCACACCTAACACTTGATTATGTCACTTTGGTAGAGATAGCCACCGTTTCTATGGTCTCGCTGATGTAACATTAGTTATATATACTCACTGGGTCAGCCGACACTACATGGAATGGCCGTTACTTGAGGCACTCGGCCCCATAGGGGCGAGAGTCGCGATGCCACACCTGCTAGGGTAGGCCTATCGACACACTGGCACTGACACTTGGCAACTCCAGCCACCCACCATTCAAACACTCACAGGCTTACTACTACTACTACCAAAACTACTACTAATACTACTACTACTACTATCACCACCACCACTACCACCACCACCACCACTACCACCACCACCACCAGTTCAGTCTCCGCAGAACTAAAACAATACTCGTAAAATATATATTTTTTTAATTCATCAACAACGAATTCTTATGAAGACTTTTCTCAGTACAAAATAAATGTTTTATATATATTTATTTTTGAGATAAATTCCCAACTTTTTTTCCTTAGAATAAATTTTGTTTGAAACATAAATAATAATAATGTTTTTCATGGAACTGTTTCAACAAGTGATTTTTTTAATAAATTTTTGTTCTCTGGGAACTATTATAAAGTGTTTTCTAGGAAGTATTAGAATGTGTTTGCTGGGAAGTATTATAATGTGTTCTCTGGGAAGTATTATAATGTGTTCGCTAGGAAGTATTATAATGTGTTCGCTGGGAAGTATAATAATGTGTTCGCTGGGAAGTATTATAATGTGTTCGCTGAGAAGTATTATAATGTGTTTGCTGAGAAGTATTATAATGTGATCGCTGGGAAGTATTATAATGTGTTCGCTGGGAAGAATTATAATGTGTTCGCTAGGAAGTATTATAATGTGTTCGCTGGGAAGAATTATAATGTGTTCGCTAGGAAGTATTATAATGTGTTCGCTGGGAAGTATTATAATGTGTTCTCTGGGAAGTATTATAATTTTTTCGCTGGGAAGTATTATAATGTGTTCGCTGGGAAGTATTATGTGTTCGCTGGGAAGTATTACAATGTGTTTGCTGAGAAGTATTATATTGTGTTTGTTGGGAAGTATTATAATGTGTTCGCTGGTAAGTATTATAATGTGTTCGCTGAGAAGTATTATAATGTGTTCGCTGAGAAGTATTATAATGTGATCTCTGGGGAGTATTATAATGTATTCGCTGAGAAGTATTATAATATGTTCGCTGAGAAGTATTATAATGTGATCGCTGGGAAGTATTATAATGTGTTCGCTGAGAAGTATTATAATGTGTTCGCTGGGAAGTATTATAATGTGATCGCTGGGAAGTATTATAATGTGTTCGCTGGGAAGTATTATAATGTGTTCGCTGAGAAGTATTATAATGTGTTCACTAGGAAGTATTATAATGTGTTCGCTGAGAAGTATTATAATGTGTTCGCTGGGAAGTATTATAATGTGTTCGCTAGGAAGTATTATAATGTGTTTGCTGAGAAGTATTATAATGTGTTCGCTGAGAAGTATTATAATGTGATCGCTGGGAAGTATTATAATATGTTCGCTTAGAAGTATTATAATGTGTTCGCTAGGGAGTATTATAATGTGTTCGCTGAGAAGTAATATAATGTGTTCGTTGAGAAGTATTATAATGTATTCGCTGAAAAGTATTTTAATGTGTTCGCTGGGAAGTATTATAATGTGTTCGCTAGGAAGTATTATAATGTGTTCACTGAGAAGTATTATAATGTGTTCGCTGAGAAGTATTATAATGTGTTCGCTGAGAAGTATTATAATGTGATCGATGGGAAATATTATAATGTGTTCGCTGGGAAGTATTATAACGTGTTCGCAAGGAAGTATTATAATGTGTTTGCTGAGAAGTATTATAATGTGATCGCTGGGAAGTATTATAATGTGTTCGCTGGGAAGTATTATAATGTGTTCACTAGGAAGTATTATAATGTGTTCGCTGGGAAGTATTATAATGTGTTCGCTGAGAAGTATTATAATGTGATCGCTGGGAAGTATTATAATGTGTTCGCTGAGAAGTATTATAATGTGTTTGCTGAGAAGTATTATAATTTGATCGCTGGGAAGTATTATAATGTGTTTGCTGGGAAGTATTATGTGTTTGCTGAGAAGTATTATAATGTGTTTGCTGAGAAGTATTATAATTTGATCGCTGGGAAGTATTATAATGTGTTCGCTGGGAAGTATTATGTGTTTGCTGAGAAGTATTATATTGTGTTCGCTGGGAAGTATTATAATGTGTTCGCTGGTAAGTATTATAATGTGTTCGCTGGTAAGTATTATAATGTGTTCTCTGGGAAGTATTACAATGTGTTTGCTGAGAAGTATTATATTGTGTTCGCTGGGAAGTATTATAATGTGTTCGCTGGTAAGTATTATAATGTGTTCTCTGGGATGTATTATAATGTGCTCGCTGGGAAGTATTATAATTATGTTCGCTGGGAAGTATTATAATGTATTCGCTGGGAAGTATTATAATGTGTTTGCTGGGAAGTATTATAATGTATTTGCTGAGAAGTATTATAATGTGATCGCCGGGAAGTATTACAATACAATAACTTAACCCCTTGAGTACGATGACTTAACCTCTTCAGTACGATGACTTAAACCCTGGAGAATGATGAATTTAACCCCTGAGTTTGATGACTTAACCTCGTTAGTACGATGACTTAACCCCTTGAGTATGAT